AAAAAAGAAAATTCATTTTCAAATAAAATACATGTTCAAATAAATTAAATTACATTTTTAAATAAAATAATTTTTCAAATAAAGAAGTTTTTACTTGCATTGGGCTATTTTAAAATTTCCCGCAAAGATCCTCCTGCTAAATGTATATTGCCTATAGTTCAAGCGTTCCTTTGGAGTTTCAATATTTTCAGCTTTCGAAATGTATATTGTAATGTAAAATGCACTATGTTGAGGTAAGCGAATAGTAAAACGTTAGTCCGTTCTATGACAACATAGCGATTTACAAACTTGATAACCTCTCTGAACAAATGCCCTAGATTATTAAAAATATTCAACACCCACTCACTCAAAGAGCTCYTTTCAGCTGGCAAAKTTTCCCAGACATGCAATGTACCTATACCAGRAAATCTGACCAACATTTTCGACGTAGCTTCATGTACTATAGTTACGAAAAAAAATCTTCAACGATCACCGTTTAAATCACAATTAAAAATGACAAATTTATATTCCGTGCAAGACTCAGTTGAAAAAGGAACTATTGCTCATCGTACAGATTGTCCAGAAAATGTCATCMTGGACATCCTAATCTTGTAAAGCGCTTTTTGCACAATGAAATTGATTTTCAATTAAGAAAGATATGACATCATTGTAATGCAGTATGCAAGCAACTACTGGCTAATGTTAAGGAGACAGAACAATTTCTTTTGTACATTACTGTAWAGCAGTGGAAGAAAWKAACATAGCTTCATAAAACTTCAGCGCTCACCATGTGAACATCATGTCCAATTTCACAGGAAGCAGAGTTTCTGCCTGCCTGATWTCGCCAGCTTTTGACACGAGTAACACTRCAAGCCTTCCAGTTTCTGTCTATCATACCTGGACTACACTAGCTGTCATAAACGGTATTGCTGCACCGCTGTCCACARCGATTAACATTTTAATATTTTGGGYGATAATYAAGGACGAAGACTTAAGRGCAGTGAACTATAACATCTTGCTTGCTGCCCTGGCAGTGACTGATCTGCTTGTAGGTCTTGTAGCAGAGCCTCTGTTGTGCTGGTACCTTGTATGTCTAGTGGTAGGCTGTTCGTCACCGTGTATTTTTACCGGTTATGTCATCWTATCTTTAATGTGCTCTGGCTTCAMTGTATTGACATTGATGGTCKCTAGTGTYGAGAGGTATCTTGCAATYGAGCATACACAGTTCTACCTTGAAAACGTCACAACAAAGAGAGTCATTTTGACAACTGCCTTTCTTTGGACCATCATTCCAGCGACTKCTTTATCAGGAAGAATCCTTTTAAATCAATCTGCTGCGTTGCAGAGAATCCCAGTTGCAGTTKTGGCCTCATYCAACGTTCTTGTYATTTTGTACTGCTCAATCAAARTCCACATTACCGCCTATCGGCAAAGAAGAGCTATAGAAGCACAAGCACAAAATCTTCAACAACARCAAGAAGAACAAGATGAACAGCAAAGGAGTYACCAAGAGTACAAGAGAGCTTTTACTACAAGTTTACTTGTTGCAACCTCGGTTGTACTTTACTGCCCTTATATCACTGTTGCTGCCATACAAGCAGTTYACGACATGGATTTTCTGAACCAMGCCTCAGTTTTCGGYATCTTCACGACATTGATAAATTTACAGTCCATAGTGAACCCAATCGTGATATCTCTCCGAATGTCTAGTATTCGCCAGGGTGTTAAGAGTAAATTATGTTGCTGTGACTGACACTATTTATTGACAATTSTAATTTTCTTGAACAATAAGCCGSCCYTGCAAGACAAAGTGAACAAGTCCAAGCTCAGATTATTCYAGGTAAAACTGTGCAATTCTGCTAAAAAGTAAAACAAATTGTAATTTAATTATTATTTAAAATGCTTACGCATTGACTAATTTACGCATTAAGAAAATAAGAGAGCTAAATCCAGAAATCTGACTTGTATCTTTGATGCCTTCCAATCAAAAAAGACATATTATGTGAATTGGTCGAGCCAGCATGTGTTTCAATAGCAAAATTTGTCCACATTATAATTCCTCTCATATGTGCATTTCAAGTTACCATGACGATTTCTATTTCTTTATTTCTCTATTTCTCTTTT